GCTCGTGGAACTCAATGGAGAAGAGTGGGATACAGTGAACACAACAATTAACACCTGGCTGTGCACGAAGGAGCCTGAGCGGCGGTTTCAACAATATCAGGTCACTTTCAGAGCACCAAGTGGATCAAGCTTCCCTCCCATTCTCAATGGGTATGAGGTCTACGTGGCCAATGAGCGCTCTCAATTAGCAACTGATGCTGGAGATGGTATGTGGCCATGCCCAGGCCATAATGCACAAGTGAGAGAGAGAGAGAGAGCTCTTTTCTTATTCATTTGTTTTCAATTGTAAGTACTTGATGGTCGAGAGGAGAGTAGAGTTACATTAGAGCTACTGAGTCTAAAATCCCTCAGAAATTTGGTATGAAATTCAAACCAAATTCCATCCATTAAACAAGGTTTAACAGCCAGAATGTCAGTTTACATTTTGGCAATCCACCTCATTTTGAAAGTCATAAAATGTGAAGCATAGCCAATTCTTTACCCCATTCTTTCAATTCTACTGCCTTTCAGTTGCAGCACTTATGGATATCAAAGATAAACTCAGACTGACGAACAGGAGTTGGGCTGGAGACCCATGCCTTCCAGAAGACTACCCATGGGATGCCTTGACCTGCAATGAAGCACCAAACCGTCGAATTATTACACTGTATGTAGCCAAATAGCCATGTTTATCACCATATGCTGTCCTTGATTTCCACATTGGCACTTGCCAAAAAGACAATGAAAAGAAACTCATATTTGCAAAAGGAAAATAAAAGCATGAAACAAAAGGGTTTTGTTTGTAGGGATCTCTCGGGCAGCGGATTGAATGGAGAAATACCGGCTTCTATAGCTAACCTCAATGAGCTCACGTCACTGTAAGTACTTCATATAGTTACATAGATGCACCTCAACATGCACACAAGTACTATTCTCTCACTTCTTTCCTTTTCGACGGAAGCCAATCTAAGCACCTTCACAATAGATCAGCTCACATTGTGTTTGGGTAGTTTAAACTCAAAACCATCAAGGTTGAGAGGACAACCAACTTCCATGGAGAAATGGGCCTGAATCCAACATAAAGCCACAAGATCATAATAGAAAGAACAGACAAGCTTTAAGGCCTAGAGAAAGCAAGCATCCTCACTCCTCTATCTAAAGCACTAAAATTTCACTCCAGTCAATTGCGCAGAACTGAACTCAAACATGGGGAAGTTATATATTCGAGCTGGCAAATAAAAATTTCAACATTTTCCCTTTCAGTTCAATCAATATGGATCTTAAGCTTGATGACTCTGTTTTCTAACAGTAAAAGTAAAAACCAAACAGTATTGCTTCAATGTTGGACTGATAACATAGATCTGAAACTTGCCCAAGATGTGATTCACTCTTGGCTCCACCAAAGCCTTCTTTCACATGTATGTGAGTTTATTTCTGTCTTCACATGAGCATCAATGAATTGGAGGTCACCTTTTCCCTAACAAATGCATTTTCCAAGTCAATGTGTTTCATCTGTTGATGGATAACTGAGTTAAATGCTTGTATGGCTACATGGCTATCACAAACTATCCTGAATAAATAATTCACATTGTTGGCTAGATTCCCCAACAGTAGTTTCAACCATACCATTCATATGCTGTATATACATACTTTGTTATGACTTAATCTATAGCATGTGTGTAGCCTTGCCAAGGTCACCTCAACATATCTCAACATGGTCAACATGCAGCATAGTGCTCTTACCTGTGATCCCCTGTTCCAGTGTCCCTTCCCTCATTGAAATAACATTATCCCATATTCTCTTTGAACCTATCCTTAGCTAACCCTACACCTTCGGTCTGCAAATTTATGTCCATATAATTAGATGGAAGTAATTGCAATCCTGGCTATTGCGCTTCCATGAGACCTTTTATGGATTCTCTCTAAGTTAATTCTTGAAGTGATCGTCATACCCAAGGACAAGCAGTGGCCCATACAAGGAGAAAATTTCTTTTCATAATCTTTCCGCCACTTAGTCCCATGACTATATCCAAGTAAAGGAGAGCTCCTTCGCCTAATTACATCACATGATCCCTACTACCAAGCAATTATGTAAGTTAATTTATTGGTCTGAGACTACATCATAGAACTTGAGGACCATTCTCAAGTTGTTGTTAAGGGTAGAACTGTGTGACAAACGATCAATATATTATCTGCCTGATGGAGTTGAGAGGCAGTAATGCCAATCGTAGCTACCAAAGAGCCCTGAAGTTTACCCAAATTGGCTACACTGACGATCAAACAAGAAAGGCAAAAGTGGATTTCCTTACTAAAGAAGCGAGCTGGGATTCATAGACCTTATAAGATTTCATGGATGCATAACTCTATCATCCATCTCCTTTACCATCCAAGATCTTTTGCACTACCCCCAATATTAATAGGCCAAGTCTATGCCCCTTCCACCTTAGGTAATGGGATGATGAAGCGTTTGTTCATCACCTTCTTGATTTGAGAGTTCTTGTAAAATTCATAGAAGACCTCCAAGAGATCCCCTTCACTAGTCATAGAATTCAGAAAAGAAAGCCAACTCAGGGAATCCTATCTTTGTGCCCATCATAAAAACTCAGTTGTACGATCCTCCTCCGGCCTTGCCCTTTTCTTCTCTACATGCAAAATTGTATCAGAATAAAGATACTAAGAAATTACGACTTAACAGGGGGAAACCTCTAAGGTTTATAGCTGAAAAATGAATAATGTCGTTAAAAATAACACATAGCACCAAAATCAATAAAATGTTTTTATCAATCCATGTGTAACCAATACAGTTTATATATTACGAATATGTTAGGAATATCTTCCCTATTAGACAAATTACATGAAGCCAGACAGGAGATAAAGTAGCTAAGATGGAGGCAAGTTCAAATACCATTTTGTGCTTGAAAAAGCTGGACCAGCCTCAGGGACTGTAGTAAAATAAAAAGGAGAGGGAGAATGTAGCATAACACGATATCAAAGTCTAGGACCACACAAAATATTGGAACGAGGGTGTGTGGGATTAGAATTGCTAGAAGTAACCTGGGTAAGCCAGGAAAAGGAAATGGCGAGAGCCAGTAATTGAAGGGCCATACAGAGTGAAGAGGAGCAAAACACGAACAACAACACCTCCAATTCTAAAGCAGTTACTGAGTTACATGACCATCAGGAGGCATGAATCACAGGGCTGGTGTTGGACTGAAAGTTGTTCCTCCTTTGCTAATGGTTGTTCACTTAAGTTCATTACCAGTGTAGAGTATTTATGCAACAGCTACTTCAACATTGATTTTTCTATCTGTGTTACAAACAGTACTCAGCTAGACTAGGAGAATAACTCAGTTTTAATTTACCATGAATGCCATGTAATATTGTTTTAGGTTATTTCTCATCAACAAATTTTAGACATCTTTCCCAGGGAAAAACATTTTACCTTACCGAAAGGGTATGTAATCTTATTGAGCGCAAAAATATCTATCCACAGAACCTGTATGATGCTTCATAGAGAACTTCTATAAAAGTTCACTTAACTTTTTTATTCCTACAAAAACTATTTTGACCTTAATAAGCCTACCCATGTTATCGGAGTGTTTGGCCAAATGGTTGTTCTTTTGATGGAATATGATATCACTTATTTTCCCCAACGTGCTGTCAAAGGACAGGCTCTAGCAGATTTCGTGGTTGCACGTTCGATTCTGTAAGTGTTTCCATTAGGTGAAGAATTACTAAGTGCAGTAGAAGAGTGTCCCAATTGGGAAACATATTTCGACAGTGCCTCTCAGGCCAAGGGAACCAGTATCGGTAACCTTTTTGTTAATCCCGAGGAAGGACTCCTCCCTTACTCCTTTTCTTTGAAGAGGAAATGCTTAGGAAATCAAGCCAAGTATGAAGCTCTTATCACTGGGTTATGAATGGCTCGTGCACTCAGGATTGACATGCTTTTGATATTTGGGGACTTACAATTAGTAAGCTGCCAAATTGATGGAAGTTACCAAGTGAAGAAAAAGGAGTTGCTCCTTTATCACCAACAAGCTATGAGTCTGATACATAATTTGAAGACTCTACCCCTCACCCTTTACCATGAAGCCCGAATAGGCAAGCCGATGCATTGGGCAAACTGGGAGCATCAATAACTCTCACTTCTTCCAAAATGCTGCAAGTTTGGGTCCAAGAAAAGAAGATGCTCGTTCCATCAGTGGAAGCATATCAATTGCCGGAGCTCACAATACCAAATACCCCATCAATGATCAATCCTAAGATGCATCGGCCACCATTGTACGACATGTCTCGTGCTATTAGGCAGATTCACCTGACTGAAGACAACCTTATATAGACTTTATACAATATAGGATCCTCCCACATGAGAAAAATGAAAGAGACTCCATTTGGAGCAAAGCAACAAGATTCACCCTTTTGGACAGGGTTCTCTATCAAAGAAACTTTAAAGTTTGAACTAAGAAAATAATCTCGACACTATATTACCATCTTAATTCACATATTTAAAAAACTCCAACTATATGCCTACACTAATCCTCAGCAGTCCAAAGCCATGCCATGCATTAATTTTTCAAATAAAGGCATGTATTGTTGTAATATAAAACGCAATGGACTCTTTTGATATTTTTGTGAATAGGGAGCATTATGGCATTCCACAAAAAGAAGTTTATTTAACTCATTTTCAAAGAAATTCTGGAAATATTCATGGTATTTGAAACTACAATATTTTACATAATAAAAAAGGAAACTATACTCTCAAAAATTTTATTATTATTATTGATACAGGAACCTATCAAACAATCAACTGACAGGTCCCATACCAGAAAGTTTTGCTCATCTGACCAAACTAAAGTCATTGTAAGTATAAATCCAATCTTTCAAGAGTGCAATAAAGGGGAAATGAAAAGAAATATGATTTTCATGGACATGCATATGGTTTGTTTATAGGGATTTGTCAAGAAACAATCTAACTGGGCTGGTTCCAAGCACATTAATAGATAAAAACGACAGTGGTGTACTTCTACTAAGGTTAGCATTGATATACTGACATTTTTATTTTACTCTTTGAGAGAATCACTTATAACTGACTTCTTGTTCGTTTGTTAACTTAACGTGCGCAGCATTTTCCAAAATCCCAGCCTTCTGAGACCCAACTCCTCTGAACCAACTCCAAAGAAGAGCAAGAAGAACATGTTTATTGTAGTGATATCTGTTAGTGCAACAATAGTCTTGCTCTTTGCCTTTGCATTTGTTCTGATAATGAAGACAAGGAAAATAAATGGTAAGCTTCAGTTTACTCACCAACATCTAGTATATCTAATATACTTACGCATCTAGTATGTACTCTTTCTTTCAATTATGCCACTCCTAAGTCCCAAATAACCCAAGAACACCAAAACACTTTTTACACAAAGCAATTTTTACACAAAATAACCTATGCTCAATTTTTACACAAAACAATAACTCGTATTCCCAAAGCATGCTTCAAATTGGTCAAGACACATACATATGAGCTCTTAAGATTAACGGTTTCTTCTTTTTTGTTATTTACTAGTACCTCAAAAGTATGAGAAAAATGGAGAAGTTGTCTACTTGGAAAATATGTCTTGTGTTTCAAACTATTTTCATGTGTACACTAAAAGTTTTTGTACCATTGTATGTTTATGAGCATTCTGTGTTGGGGAAGAAGCATTGGTTTTACAAACAAGTTATAATCCAAAAGACACCCCTGTGATAGAGAAGGAAGGGTTGTTATTATGCGGTTGGGACTACATTGGTGTTTTGATTCAACAATTACACTAGAGAGCAAATAGATTTATCTACTTGCAATAACCAACTACCATCTAGGTAGAAAAATAAACCCTGGGAAGCTCGTTTGTTTGCTCAATACTAAAAGCCCCTAGGCATTCTAGCAAACAGGCAACTCCACCTTAACTGAAACCAACCCATCAATTATGCTTTCTCAAGTGTTGACTGTACCCTTATCTCTTGAAAACAAGCCATGGTTGTCCATGAGACGAGCCAACCCGAAAAAGTCCCACCCTAAATTCCTATCTCTTTGGTTGGTATACCTGCCCTTGCTCTTGAGCAAGGTTCCTGAGACAACGATCTCAAGTCCCAGGTTCTCTAGAAACCTGAGATACGTGCTGCCAGATCATCTAGATCCGGAGGGTGAGATAAAGGCACCTAACAGAGGTGGCACTGATATCACTGCTTGAACATAAGCGGTGGCACTGCTTATGTACAAATATAATTATTTTCGCCTTTTGATAAACAACATTTAAATTTTCTTTCAGAGGTGCATATTTCATTCTATTTGTTATAGTAATGTATAACATATCTTATACTCATCTTTACATCGTTCAAAATTAAAATCAGAGCAGCATCCTCATCGATCGTGTATGGTTTGGGATTCAACAAGAACACATCTTTGAGGAAGTAAACAAGAAGTAATTCAAATTGATATGTCTCTGGAATACCCAGTTGTCTCCTCCAAAAGAATCAAGTAACCTTTGAAGAAAATGTTTCCTTTTGTGGTTCAACAATTTTCTCCACACTGACTTGACAGTTTCTCAAAAATAAAAAGAACGACAAAACAGGCATCATATATCATAGTTGGGTCTTTTCCCGATAGTAAGAACTTAAGCAGTAAGCCTAGGGCCAGAAACCAGGGCTAAAATTTCAAAGAAACAATCCCCATCTATGGGGCAACAAACCCACCACAATTGCTTATGAAGTCAAATCAATGAAATTTGGTATAACACAAGACAGAATTCAATTGATTATCTTAGAAGAAATCAGCCAGTAAAAGCCTAAAGACTTTTCTATATATTGTAAAATACACAGCAAAGTTTGGTAGTTTTTTCTAGATGGAGGATGACTCTTATGGCTAGTTTCATGACCTGCAGCTAGCAGGCCTCCAAATAAATGGTTTTTTTTTTTTTTTTGAATGTTTCAAATAAATGGTTTTTTTTTTCACTAAGCTTCCCATAAATGTTCTTTAATATTTCTTACCATAACTTAGTTCCTCCTACAGCCAACCCCAAATAGTTACAAAACTGCTCTGACGATGATGATGAACTTAGTTCCTCCTATAGGCTCCAAAAATTGAACAGTACGTTGCATCCCTAACAAAAATTCAATGGTACGTAATTAAAAGTGAACTCCCATTTTAATTAGTAAATTGTGAACAAGTTCAAGCTCTTTAATTGTCTCCTAGAAGTCTTTAATTGTTTTTCAACATTCCAATTTCTTCAGAAACCCCTTCTGAGTTCTAAGTTCCAGGTTAATATGTCTCATGCAAATTTCTTGAACTATTGTTGGGGTCCTTTTTCCAAATAGGAAGCATCTATGCAGCCCAAGCTACCTCAAAAACCAGGCCTGAAACTTCAATGACACAACCCCGAAACCATACCACTACTAAGCCAACTGTGTATTAGGTAGAGGATAGTCCAAGATTAAGTGTACTTGATTATATTTTAAAAAGAGAAACAGATGTGAAGTCTTAAAGTAAGCAATGGGAATTCATTTTTCCAGAAACCATTATAGAAACCTACTCAGACCTCTTTTCTAGATGAACCAGAAATCGACATTTCACTTTTGGAACTTTTGGGCCTGTGTGGCCCCAGGTTTTGTTTCCTGTACAACCTACATCTTCCCATTTAGATAATAATTCCATTCTCCGTTTCATATTTTGTGTAAGGTGAAAATATTTTTAATTTTGAAATTCTCGGGTATAGAATTTTTCTAAAAATTAGTTGTTATTTAATCTCCCGAAAAGGCAATTTTGTGATCATTTCTAAATATAGTAAAATTGTAAAAACATGCATCAGGGAAACTGGTTATGACTGCATCTTCGAAAGCACTTTAAATGAGGCATGCCCGAAAGTTTAATGTGGAAATTTTTCCAAAGATGGTAGTGTAAATGTCTGATCAGATCCATATATAGTTTATGGCATACGTATTTTTTTCTTACACCATTGAATCAGGAGAAGAGAAGTTGTGTAACAAACAAACGGATGACACACCAAAACCAGATGCTACCAGAGCATTTACACATGCAGAAATTGTAAAAATCACCAATGACTTTGAAAAGGTCATTGGCAAAGGAGGCTATGGGCCTGTTTTCTATGGATGCCTAGAAAATGGCCATGAAGTTGCTGTGAAGTTACTGTCCCAGGAATCACAGCAAGGATATAGGGAATTCCTTGCAGCGGTTCGTATAGACAAAACAAACTAAATGCCATTTGATATACTTGTGTATAAATTTACTGAGGATATATGCATTGGGACTTGGTCAAGCAGGTTGAACTGTTGATGAGAATTCATCACAAGTACTTAGTCTCATTGATAGGATTCTGTGACGAAGGCCCAGAAAAGATTCTGGTCTATGAGTACATGTCAAAAGGGAATTTGAAAGAGATTTTGTCAGGTACAATTCCCAAGCCATCAGAATATTTTTCATTTTCATCTACAATGTTAGTTTTAATTTGTGACATTTCCACCAATGATTAAGCAGTGTTCTAAAACTCAGGCGAGTCTACTTAGACTCAGCCGCTTGAGTTACTCAGACAGGGCAAGGTGCCATGTCCGAATAGGAGCAGTCACACACATTCAATTCGTACATGTTGATACTATAACTTGTACAAACTCATCCAACACTCTAACAGACGAGCAACACTGTACAGATGACTCGGACTTGTGGTCCTCCCGAGTCCCAAGTCAGAGCCCTGTTTTGAACATTGATTATAAGTCCCTCTTCCAAGTGACATTCTAGTCATTTTTATTACGCCTACCTATTGTACATTTAGAAACAGATAGATGCAAGCAACCGAACCGCTTGATGTCCTTACATAAATGGAACAGTTTGTTAGTTGTTATGCCTCTAGTACTCCATACAATAACAACCTAAATAAGTAAACTGGAAATAAAAACCAGTGCAAGACAATTATCTTTAGCAAAATCTGCTTATGATGCTTTAAAAGCAACCATATAATGAGTATGGCTCTCTGTGGATAGTCCTATTCTGAGATCATTCTCATATTGAACTTAATTGATAAATAGTGACATTTGATTTCTTGTAACTAGATCTCTCTGGAGTAGCATGGAACTCTGGATTTGAGGATCGGTATAAGAGACTTTTAATTTCAGAAGAATATAGCTAACTACTGAGAAACCACTATTTTTTGTCACCCCGATAAATTTCTCTCCAAGGAAATATAATGTGACATTTTGGAATTTGGGTTTCAAGCTCAATGTCCCAATCTGCATTTGTAAAGCAAGTATGAGATGGTACAGTTGACATGGGAAATCAGAATCCTCTTTTGAGAGTGATGCGTGATTGCTTAAGAAGAGAAATCACAAGATCATGAGTAAATAAAAGTCATCAGATCATGAGTAAATCAGTATCTATGAGGTAGGGAATGTAACTCATAGAAAATGTCCACCCCCCAGTTTCCACTTAGGAACTCCAGCGTGATACTAGTAATGGATGTTATTTCAGCAGGACAAGAGACAGGGTTGAGATCCCGTGACCCATGCTTATTAAGTAAATCTAGCACACTCTGGAAATAAATACAATTACCAAGGAGTCCAATATACATGAAGAAAACAAAAGGACAAATGGATTCCTGGAAGTACATACAATACCAAAGAGACCACTTGATGCAAATGAAACAAGAATGGAGAAATGGATAATCTTGAAGTGCACAATGAATTTTTTTCTTAACAAATCAAGGACACTCTGTCACGAGAAAATACTTGAGAAGCAGATCCATATTTAAGATATCTATAGGAGGCCAGCAGGATCATGTCATTGATATCTAAGAGCACCACCTTAACTTGAAATATCCTTATAATAATATGAATGCACATGTCTCCACGTAGCCTTACAACATCGTCAAGGTTGGACCATTCTACATAATTAATCTCACCTTGTCAAGAGTGATTTGAAGAGAGAATGCTAGATAAATGAATCATAGAGAACAATGTTTCAAAAAGCGCTAGGCAGGTCCTAGGCGGCCGCCCTGGGGGGTCCAGGCCTTCCAGCTTCTAGGCGGGCGTCCAGGTCGAATCGAATCCAAAAAAGATGCCCATTTGAATGAAAAAAAGATATATAATATAAAAAATAAAAATTAGGTATTTAGGTCACTTTGAGTTTGATTGGTCAATCTTCAAACTTCCACCTCAAAGATACTTCTAATTAAAACCATCATTCCAACCCTTTATACTTAAAAAAAAAGAACAGTACAAAAAAAAAATTCTGCTCTTGGGCGGCACGCTGGCCTAGTCGGGTTCCGTACGCCCTAGGCAGGGCGTAGGCCCCGGCCACTCTGGGCTTGGCGCTAGGCGCCCACCTAGGCGAATTCTGTACCGCCTAAGCGGACGCCCAAAGACTGCCTCCCAAATTGGCTGCCTAGGCCTGGGCGCATCGCCCAAGCCTTCTGGACCGCCTAGGCGCTAGGCGGTCCGCTTTTTGAATCACTGAATTAGAGAATAATATAGTAAATATATTACAAATGGCAGAGCATGCCATGGCATAGACATGCAAGATAAGGATTTAAATACAGAATAAAATGCATACAATACATAGAAATAACAAATTAAAAGATTACTCTATATAAACAGGAAGTAATTCAAAATAAGATATATGAAATATGGAAAAAACAAAGAAATAAGGACAAAACATATTTGAATTAAGAATTATCTGATTTTTCCAATAGTTCTGTCAAGAGGTTCCCAAACTCCATCTACTTTCATAATGGTCATGACCAGTGTTCGCAAAATCGAACCCGAACGGTTTACTGAACATGGGGCTAGAAGCAGTTTAACCGACCTAATCGGTAAACCGGCCGATTCAACCTTTCTAACCAGGCAAGTTACGAGTGGCCAAAAAATTGTTGAAAAAAATAAAAAAGATGTAAAAAAAAATCTACTAAAATATAAATAGCATATAAAGAATGATTAAAACAACGAAGTAGAAAATTAATGAAAAAATGGATTTTAAAAGGGCGTATTAATGACCAAAACAATTTTCAATATTTAACATAATGTAAAAATATTAAAAAATGTATTACAAATCAAATTCCTTATTTTGGATATATAAACACTTTTTTGAATTTTTATTTTTAAAATAGCGGCTGATCTAACCAAGCGGTTACCGGTTTGATCGGGTGCTTTTTCAAACAATGGTCATGAGACATATATTAAAAAAACTAAATTGTTCAAGCCATGAATATGAGAACTTCACACAGAGGTAAAAATCTAAATAGGAATCTAGAAGCAGTTAGGGGGCAACATTTAAGGTAACATTTTTTGGAACTTTGGTGAATTCTCTAGAAGACCAAGAATCATTCAAGCTACACTTGAAAAGTTATTGATAATATGGGGGCCGCTTTTGTCCCTTTTAGATAAGATTGGGAAGGACCGAAAGCAGAAGGGAAAGTAATTAGCATCACTAAAATAGGATGTAGATTAATCAAGGATATGGATAACTTAGTTCTTCCTGAAAACTACCAATAACCACCAGCTGAAAAGAACTGTAGTATTTGGTGTCCAAATAAATAGAATTATTAAAAGAATTTCATGTACACTAGTGGTAAGAATATCCTAGAACATATATTAGATATCATCAAGCAACTCACAATTGGAACATAAACTTGTGAAAATTGCCTTGCATTGATCACATGGTTGGAAAGATTAACTCACAGACACAAACATAGTACTACTATACTGTTACAGTATTCAACAAATATATTATTGTAACTTAGGAAGCTACATAAAAAATTTGACACAAAAACAACCTCGAAGAAGTGAAATTCTATCAGATCTGTGCGTATACTTTTCATAAGTAGCCTCATTGTGCTTGAGCATTACATGATTCATATAGCGTTGGAATGAAAGGACCTTGAAGTGTTTGCCATGTCATGCAGATAAAAACAGAAATTCAGTATCCTTAAATTGGGAGCAGCGTCTTCGAGTAGCTCTAAGTGTTGCACAAGGTAATGCATATCAAATATTACCTTTTTCTGATCTTGATTTCAATTTCTCAACAAGTATTTTGTGTTGTAGGATTGGAGTATCTTCATTGTGGATGCGAACCACCAATCATTCATAGAGATATCAAGACCGTCAACATCCTCTTAAATGAAAAACTGGAAGCCAAAGTAGCAGATTTTGGGCTGTCAAGATTAGGGCCAACTGAGGATGACACTCACATATGGACTATTGCCGTGGGCACCCCTGGATATGTGGATCCTGAGTATGTTACTGATCACCGAATAGCAGAAAACCACAAAAACATTGTACACAACCATCATTCACAGAAGTCTTTCTATGTTTTCGATTTCTTGCTCTTTTCTTTCCTACTTTTCTTTACTTCCACCCAGAAATGTAAGTGCCAGACCTTTATTTCCTTTCCAGCTTACTGTTAGCCATTTGAAGCATGCATTTTTCACCCATTTTTGTCCAACCAAAGTATTTATCTAATTTAGGGAAGATATATGGCCATGAATTCTCTGTGGAAGTTCTTTTAAATAAATGTCATGCTTCTTTGATTCTCTTCATATAGTCAACAGAACTAAAAGGAAAGATGAAATTTTCTAGTGTATGTGTTGGGCCTCTACACACAATCGTACAGGGAAGTAAGCAACTAGCTGAAGGAACCTATCTTTTTTATGCTGTTCATTTAAACCAGAAGCCACAAGACTTGTTTTTCCACAAATAACTTATACTTTTATGTGTGCGTATGGCGAGAAGGTTGAGATGGACCACAGATAGTTTGATTGTCCTTTGCTTCCCTTCCAATATCTTGCCAATGCAGGTATAGATAGTTTCTAAGAAGACTGATCTACATAGTAAACTAATCTCTTTTCTTCTCTTAATACAATGTTGACAGTTTCAAAAATAATAATAATCTCTTTTATTGAGAATATATTGTTTTCATGACAAAGTATTTCCATGGGTCATTATTTAAGTATGTATTAACCCCATTAACTGCAGGTACAACATCACGAACAAGCTCACTGACAAAAGCGACGTCTATAGCTTTGGGATAGTTCTTTTGGAGCTTATATCAGGCCAGCCTGCAATAATTTTGGAGGAAGAGAGACTACATATAGTACACTGGGTAACTCCCAAGATTAAAACAGGTGACATTGTTAGTGTGGTTGATCCGAGGTTGCAGGGGGAATATGACATTAATTGAATGTGGAAAGCCGTTAAGATAGCATTGGCATGTACACCAGAGACAGCCGTTAGGCGGCCAACGATAAGTGATGTTATCGGTGAACTGAGAGGATGTGTAGAGCTTGAGTCATCGTGTCGCAGGAGAACTTCAAGAACAGAATACCACACATCAAGCCCCATAACTGCTTCAATAAATATGGAGAAGGAACCAGGATTTGATCTATCACCAAGGTAGTCAGCTTCAACAGTTTTCGCATGCAATGTCGGAAGCCATTATAGGTCAGTCAACATCTGCCAAGGTTCTCAAAGCAATTAGATACGTTGAGCAAGCCTTTTATTTCATTCTTAAATTTTATGTACTTCTGCTCACTCAACATTGAATGTGGCCCGTGATTCTCTTATGCCTTCAGTCTACTCTTCTTTGGTTTTATGAGGTAGACTAGCCTGTAATTCTCTATTATTGGGTGTAATTCTCGATTATTGGGTGTAATTCTGCAACTTGATGCTATTTATTTTCCTGTTTTCTTTTAAACCAGTTTGATAAAATGCTCCATCTAGATAACTGCTATAAGGGAAGGCATTGTTGTTGTGCATATAGTTGTGGCTGTAGTTTTGAGGGATGAGGACAGCGTTTTATTGACAATCAAACAGCCCATAGAATTTGAATATTTCCCAATTATAATTCAAACAAATCAATCAAACACCCCCATACAGCAAACGTCAATTCCTGAAATTATAATTAGGAAAAATCAAATAAAATTTTCGAATTTTTTCTATCAAACAAACCCTTAATTTTGCTCTCAAATCCACATGAAAGGGTGAGGAATTAAGTACAATTTATTAAATAAAATTTTTTTAAGACCCTTTTATTGAGAAATTTTTTAAAGTCTACTTGTTTAGATTATCCACTATATTTTTGGATATTATCTACTAACAAAATTTGGGTTTTTTTTTTTTGTTCTTATGGATAATATTTACTCTCTCTTTCTAGAAATTGATGCAAACTTTTGGAAAATGGCGACAAAATTCTATAAATAATTACCCCATCAATAACCAAGATAAATATGCAATTTTAACACTAACGAACCTATAGTCCTATATCAAATGGGACTTGCAATTTGGTTTGAACCCCTTACTCATATGTAAGTTAGGCTCTCTTTGATTTTCTTTCTCATCTGAACTTTTGAGGGGAGATTGCTAGAGGTCCCCTGGTTTCTTAATATATATTCCTTCTTAATTCATTCAAGAGATGGCTTTTCAATCATTCACTGCTATTCTTCACATTCAAAATAAAAAAATTTGGTTGCTTAATTGAGTTTGAGATCTTTTAAAAGCACCCAGGGGAAAAACATCATTTATCAATTTTTTCTTATTAGTTTTTTGGTTTTCTTTCTTTCATTTAGGCCATTTTGATCGTTCACCTTGTTTTGGTGATTATTAATTATTTAGAGTTTTTTATTTAGTTTATACCATGCTTTAAAGTCTCTTGCCACAACTCTTTCTTGTCTCTTTCGGGTCATGTATTAAGAAGGGTGGATCCCTATTTCCTTGTGTTATTTAGTTTGATTGTTTGTTTTTCCTCTTTTTACACATATTTACTCAAAAAAAGGAATACATTAGTCATGTTCATTGGTTTCCTAATCCTTAGTTCTTATGTTTTCTCCTCTTTTTG